GTTTCAAGACATGTCCAACCTTTCCACCCACCAAGTAAAATTTTTTACAGTGTAACTTTAAACACCACACAGTTTTTCCGGCACAAAGAAAAAACTGAACAAAGGAGGATGAAGAAAAATGTAAAAATATTATAATTATAATATAATAATTCACAAATTTGTGACAAGAATTTACGAGACGACAACTGCAATAGATAGAGACAGGAAGCAACCTGTCTTCAAAAGGTTTGGCACAGCTCATGGCCAATGAGCGACAGTGAAACTCTTTAAAGACACCATAAAAAGGACAATGTTTGGAGGAGTATCAGTAACTTCAACAGAGTGATTCCAACCTGCATAAGTAGCCAAACAAAAACACATTTTAAGAAAATCTAAAAAATCCAACACCCTTCCCTAATATTGATGTTTATAATAATTCTTATTTGCATTCTGTCCTCCAGCCTCCCACTCAAACAGGACTTACAGTACATTACACATAGGAAATAAAGGAACCTTTTAAAGATCTGAAGCATGCATATGTGTTGACAAACATTAATACGTTGAAAGATACGTTGGGAACGCCTCGACGCTTAAGCAAAAAGGTCCGGATACACATTTGCATCCACCTCAGCAGGCAGAGGGCGGGCATGAAAGGAGACCCAGACAAGACATTCATGAGTTCACACACACACACACACACACACACACACACACACACACACACACAGATTTCCCTCACCACAGGAGGGGATGACAGTGGCCTGCCTTCCTGTAGGGAGCAGACAACCAATTCTCTCCCACACACTAATGGCTTTGAAATCTCAACACAACAGTACAGTTCTTGTATTACAACATTTGTAACATTTGTCCACTGTTTATAGCTTGTTCTAAACAGGTTGCTGTGTGTGTCCAATCTAAATCGCTTATGCTCATGCTCCCCTAGATATGCTGAAGTCACTCCAGTGTGTGACTCATGATTTTCACCATTTTTATTTTGAAATGGTCAAGTATTAATTATGACATCTGCTGCTGTTTTGCAAGCTGGAAACCAGCTTTCTTGCTTTGTTATAATTTTACTTTTTCTTACATACATTTGACACAATTTTATCAGTCTGTGCCCCCTAATTTGGTCGCATGACACTCCTGATGTAGATGAATCTTTTATGTGACTATTCAGCCAACCTGCCATGTATACCAATGACTTTATAAGATTAGAGCGGCCGAGTACGCCTCCTTCCAAAGTGACCGACGTCATCGCCACAGTCTAGTAGACAGCACTCCGACAACAAAGGAAGAGACGTGTGAAATGCCTCTGCGATCCAGTTCTGCTGGGTCCAGTGGTGTCTGAGCACGCTGCGGTGGTCTGTCGCCATCTCCTGGACGCCTCTGCATCTGCACTGTGGAACTGGGATGATGTCATGGTTTTCAGAAGCACTATTGTCCTCCGGTTCGGTTCATGGTCAAAGTCTGGAGTTTTCTGTGCATGCTCAGTAGTTGGCCAGATTGCCGTATTGCGCCATGCAGTGCTTTTGTCTACGCACCTGTGATTGTGTGTGCCAAGCTCACGTGGGTGTTTGGGCTGAAAGATCCAGCAGACAAAACTCCTGCCACAACCGAACCTGATTAATACAACATGCGCACACCACATCAAAGTCTGCATCCTGATACACATTTTGCAGTATGCCACATCTTTAAGGTTATTTAGTAAGGATAGATGGCTACGCTACAGGGGTTGGACAAAAAATCATGAACAACTCTGCATTGTAATGAAACCATCAGAGTACATTTGTGAGGGCTACAGTGAGTGTGTCACCGTGTTGGTTGAACTCTACGGTAGGTTTTTAGACTGCAGTTTGTACTGTGGCGTATTGAGCTGCACTATACTGTAAGGCTTTTCTACCAACAACAGAAATTTAAAAAAACTACATTTAAAAAAAAAAATAATTCAAAAGACTTAAGTCCCCATACACCCGTGATACACAGCCGAAGGTGTGTATCTCCTTTAGGACTGTGTGGGCACGTACGGACTGAGGTTGACTGACATCTCACTCACTTTCCTGTTAAATTGGCTGCACCTGTGGGGACAGGACAACTTAAACTTTCAACATTCATATTAGTAGAAGTATTTCGTCAAAAAAAAGACAAAAATCTGCTCCCACACACTGTCAACAGTTATGGTACATTTTGTTTTGGATTCGCTGCGTTTCAGCAGGCATTTCAAATGACAAAAAGCCCACATACTTGGTCATATTTGGTGAGCAGAGGTCTTATCAGCCTGAATAACTGCACCTGTGTGGGTGTACAGGGCCTTTACCAGCTCTATGCCTTAAAATTGTAACTTTGGTTTGAAAATGCTTCTGTTATATTCTTAATCCCAGAGAGATGAACAATCATCTATCTGCTATGTTGTGAATTCATAAAGTTAACACTTAACATTGTAGCTGCTGTGTTTTTGATCTTTTACCTGTTTCTTCACAAACCCTGTGTAGGCATTTCCACCTCCAGCAGACTTTTTGAATTTCACCACTGATAATAACGGCTACATGATCACATTTATGTGTGCCCGTTCCAGGGCCCTGGTGTTGTGCATGCTGGCTCACTGTCATGTCTTACTAGGACACTTAAATGGAGCGGAGCCAACATGGGATGTTGTTAATTCCTCCTGTGCTTTTCTTGCTGAACTTTAAGGAAAACCTGCTGACATTGTTTTGACCATGTCGCTTTTTTTCTCTTTTGACAATAAATTTGTGTTTTTGCACAAAATGTATACATAACCTTATAACCTTTTAAAAGTATACTGTAGTATTTACTACACTGGTACTGCATTTGGTCTGTATTTTTTACAGATGTTGTGGTGTTTAAATAGATTAGAAGATTATAAAGGAATTCTGGATTACATACAGAACTGAGTTTGTTTATAGGTGCCGGGTAAAATAAGAATGAATATTGGACAGTGAACGCCCCAAAGCTGTTTCCATTTTTATAAAATGTACAACCTGTCTAAACCCACATTAATGACGAAAAACCAAAACTACATTTGTATGAAAACAAAACCAAAACTACCAAAACCCATCATGGTAATGCCAACTAAACTGAAATACATACTTGACAGATGTAAAAGACATTTGTACTCCAACATTATTATTAACCCTGTTCTTCTGGGTTTCCTGCAGATTGAAGAGGAGCTGTGTTCCCTTCAGAAGGAACGAACCGACCGGATCAAACACCTGCTGGAGCGCCAGGAGCGGGAGATTGACAACTTCGACATGGAGAGCATGCGGCTGGGTTTCAGCAACCTGGGCACCCTGGACCTTCCCAAGGATGACTACAGATGAGGGGCTGCTATCGCTGCCGCTGGCTCTCATGGTCCCCGGGCATCTGCCTGCCTCAGTACACCCCTCCTCTCCTTTGACTTGACCTGACCTGACCTGACCTGACAGTGCAGGCGTTCACTGCTGCTGAGGCCCCCCCCCCCCAAACACACACGACGCAAAAAAACACAAACAACAAAAGGCTTCAGAATCAGGTGTTTTCTGGGCCGCTCAGACTGAGTCGATGGCAGGTTTTAGTGCCCCAAAACCCACCCAAACTTCCTCCCCCTTCTTGCCTCTTGTGGTGTCACAAGATGACAAAAAAAATATGCTGGATAACTTCCTGTAGTTGTCATGTTTTTATAAGAATAATGATAACATAGTCACAGTGTTTCTTGTTTCTTGTGCAATGACGACACTGTTGGTGTGACTAAAAGTGGAAGACGAGAGAAGGAGGGAGACAAAAAAATGGGGGCAGTTCGATGAGCAAAATCGCTCCACAAACATTTTTTTTTTTTTTAGAGGCGATTTATTTTTTTGTTCGTTTGTTTTTCTCAAGCGGTGCAAAACAAAAAATAAAATCATCATAAATCAAACAGCCGATCCTTCCGCAGATGTTCGTCTGCGCTGCTTCTTTCAACACTTTTTGGTATTTATTCATCAGGACATTTTTATGACAAATCTGAATTTGATACTTTGAGAGACAAATATCATGATGTACATACAGGTACGCTTATGCTAAATGTGACTCCTTCGGGTGAATTCGATTACGGAGAGGAGGGTGAATCATGGTACTCAATGTGTGTATCGTACTGATTTCTCTGCACTGGCAGTCAATGTGAATAATAATCCATGTGACACGTGAACTCCAACTCCCAGCTAGCACAAAGGGCTTCATGTGGAGGGGGCGGGGGGGACTTGTACTTTGTGTATAGAAGGATTTATGGAGAGCTTTTACTTATTTTCATATTGTATTTTAACTCTCACTCAAATCGAAAAAGAATTTTTAAAAGGCGCTTTTTTCTCCCCCCTCCTCAGATAGTATTTGAGTCATCTATCAACGGGATTTTAATTTGATTTGTTTTTTTTGGCTTTACACAGCTCTCTCAAGCTGTGTATTTTCTTATAAACCAGACAAGTATGATGCTTTATTATTGCATGCACTTTAATTTTTTTCCAGGTTAAAAGAAAGCATGAATCTGTCAGAGCTTTTAATTATATTTGTAAATAAAGTGCTCATCACACAAACGAAGGACCTGTTGTCATTTATGTCCAGGATGAATTCCCTAATAAGAGGTAAGATTGACAAACCAGGGGACAGTAAAGTTTGGAGGTTCAGTGTTTTACTTAAAAACATTTTGACAGTGAAAATGAAGTGTTATTTCAGTCTAATCTACTTTGTGACAAGTTCTCAAGCTGAGGTCATGAAGATTCAAATATTAAGGACTAGTTGACAGATATAGATGTACAGTTGTACTTTCTCCTTCTCAGGTGCCACATAACATGTCTAAAAATGTAATGCTCCTGATTCTAATTATTTAGATCTCAGTGTAACAACATTTCAGTATTTCTCAAATGATGATCTATCATCATAATACTTCACAATGTATTTAATGAGAGGTTATGGAGGATCTAGGTTGGTTGAATGGGTCTGTAAGCTTCTATCGGCTACCATAGACTAAGAAAATATCTCTACAGAGAACACAACCATTTCAGTGTTTTACAGATTTATTGCAGAATAGTTCAGGTGACGTCAGTGAGAGAAAAGGTTATTTTTGTCAAAGCATGAGTAGGCAACAGTGGGGAGAGAAAAGCATTAGTCTTCAGTGGCACACTCACAAAAAAGTGCTTTGTTATGTTTTTTGTTTTTTTTTGCTTCTTGCGAGAATCGGATCATCCTACAGACCAGCACACTACGTCTGTGGGAGTTCCTAGGGCTGAGCGCTCAAGAGTCTAGTCTTTTCATTTATTTTCCGGCCAGCTGCTCGTACAGTTTGGGGACGTAGTTGTCCCACTCGGCCTGGTAGCAGGTTCCTGCCACCGGGGCCCCAAGGTTGTACTTCTGCCTGAAGCTCTTGATCTTAAACTTGCCGCGGCCGTCTCCGGAGCGGTTCGTGAGGACTGTCTCGGAGCAGGACAGGCTGCCTGGCTGCTCGTACACCAGCCAGACGTACCTGTGGAGACCTGAGCGGGACAAAAACTTTTAAATGTGGCATTACAGTGCTGCTTGGAAATCAACCTCCTAAAACTATAAACTGAGGTTTACGTGCACTATACTTTTTTCAAATGAGGAGTTTATTTCTCTTGAACTTCACTCCAAATATGGGACATTCAGCAAAACTTGGACACAAATCTGTCTAAAACTGAAAGTGATGCCTCTCCTATAATATGGCTTTCTCTAAGCTTCATTCTGTCTTTACCTGTGCCCTTGGGAGGACCAGATCCCACGTAGTCCGACATCACGCAGCCAGAGGACACATCATTCCCTTTCATGTTGACCACCAGAAAGTGGTGCCACTCCCTTTAGTGAAAGGCAAAAGAACAGTTTTTTTAAAGTACTATATAAAATCTGACTTCATTTTAAAGACAACAAGAGATGCTTTCTGCTTTTACACACCAAGTTACACACAAGTTTTGCCATTGTCTGTTTAGTAAAAGTTGAGCTGCTAAACTCCCTTTTTGAACATGCAGTGAACCGATCAAAAGCAGCACCAGCGAGAAAGTGGGTGGGATGGGATGAGGGGTTCACATGAGCCATGTTCGTCCCAGGGCCACTAGACAATTTAATCATGGGTCCACCAGGGGCCACTGTCCCCTCCAACCACAAGACTGAACCCTCTTTGGTTCCCTGCTTCCAGTAATATTTCTCTAGAATATAAATGCCAATTCCAACAACTGACTTTAATTTTAATGGTACAGTTTAATCGTTTTCTTTCACATAAACTACAGCATTCAGCTTGCCTGCTCTTTTCACCTGAATTTTGGGTCTTTCCTGCTAGGAGCATCAGGGTCGGTCAGGGCCAAAGTGTACATCTTACTGGAGTCACATCCTTCCCACTCGATGCAGGTGGGTCTATTCTGCACCTGCAGGTAAACACGGGGTAACTTCAGAAATGGTGCGTCGACTTGACATTTTGGATGGCCGGACCTGACGCCCATTGGGGGCGCTATTCACCTTCTGTTGGTCACAGCTGCAGACACGCTGGAGGCATTATGTAATCTAATTCATTGCTGGCAAACATTTACAGACAGACTGATACTAAATAATCAATTACAAAGCAATTCTTGTCAAAATAAATGCGTGTTCGAGTGGCGCTCGCAATATAGCTCTTAAGCTAACACTCAGGAACGACGCTAAGTTAACGTTAGCTGAGTCGCTAGCTCGGCTAGCCAACATAAGTTAGCTGACTAACCTGTGTTGGCGTGAGCACCTTCCCGAGCTCGTCGATTTCCACGGAGTCGTATTTAATGGTCAGAGGCTGTGCGGGCTTTTCCTCGACCTCCTGCAGGGCGAGAGGTCCGGTCCACTGGCTCAAATCTAGGGGCATATTGACTTGCTGTCCGCTGCTGACTGCACGGCTCGCGTTAGTTGCAGGCACACAAGAACTGCCAAAAGTGCTGCGTTCACGTACCACCAGGAGCAAGTGAAGAATTCACGCATTTAGCTAACGAGTTGCACCATCTGAATCCAAAATATCTTTATTCGTGAATTTGAAGTCAGCCTTAAACGAACTACAGTGGATGTTAATAAATGTATTTTAAGGTAATTCTCTGCTCTAGTGTTAATATCACCTGGTATATTTATGTACATTCCTACTAGGTAAACCATTACCATTCTTTGTGGACAGTTTTAACCCTAGTAGTGATATATTAGTAGTGATATATTTTGACATGCCATCGTAATTATATCGCCAGATCAGGTGGCAGGTAACTTGGCCTATCGGTGTTTCTTGTGATTTGTACTGTGTGGTGAAGCACAATTGTCCCAGTACTCTGACTACATGTGAACGTCACAAACAGCACTGGCTGCAGATGACCACCAGTGGGCGCTGTCGCCTCACTGCCACGTGAATTGTGGTTTGCTAAAATGTCTGTCAATCAGATCACCTGAACTCGTCCCTCCTCCGGTTTACATGCCCCATTAACACACTTTCTGTTCCCAAACTGCCGGCTTTAGAGACTGGGGTCTGTCAACGAGGGGATTGTTTAATTGGTTTAGTGAATTCAGGATTTTTTCATCTGTCAAATTATAGTAAGTGTGTTTCCCCTCCTAATTAAGATGCAACATTATTAGTCTGTGGTAATCAGTAAGCACATAGCAGCCAGTTGTAGTAAATGAGTGATGCCTGTTCTGTCCTATTTGGTAGTGGTTCAAAGTTGCATGCCACAGACCTCAAAACAGGCACACATGAAACACAGATTTGGTGGCATCGCTTTCTTATGAGTGAATATGGTTGTTAATGTTGAATTTAGTGGCAAGGTTATCAGTTCAAGAGTGAAGCCTACTTAAATGAACAGCCTATAGTATATTAAATTACACTTGAATTAAATCAATTTCTGACATTGTTATGTAGGCCTACACCCACAGTCCCCAAACTCCCACACGTCACGGCAACTGCTAAATTCAACTTCCATGCATACATTGCATTTGACTTGATCAGCCAGGATACATGTTGTACATGTGTTATAAACGTGTTGTAAAATAATTACATGTTTATATATTGACGCTAACAATAACTGTATGTTACAACAACACACAGAGTATCGCATTGTTATCTTTTGTGCTACAATCAAAGGCAACAAGGTTGTCAGATGAAATGCCACTATGCAGAGCACCACAAAAAATGTTATGCCATCACACATCTGTAGCTTCATCAAAGAGATTATTCATATAGGTGGCGCTGTTATTGCAGATTAAAGACTTCAAAAAAAATCCCATTGACTTACATGCATTTTATATCTCCATAACCACAGGTCCGATTGATACCAAATTTGGGCCAATTGTTCCCCATGGGGCCCTGATGACACCTGAAACATTTGGTGCAATACGGCCAAAAGGTGGCGCTATAATCAATGTTTAAATACCCCATTCATTTCAATGGCATTTTGAACCAAAGGACATTTATCCTCATAACTACGCGCCACTACAATGCACATTCATTTCATGTCTACGTGATTCTGCCGATTCGGATGGTATAACACACGCCTCTGTGCGACGTTTTCATTTCACTAAATCGCGGAAACTGAAAAACCTATTTTAATTAACTCCTCCGAAGCCGCAAGTCCGATCGCCACGAAACTTGGCACGCACCGTCTCTGGACCGAGCCAATAAAAGTTTGTAGAGGGAATTTTGATCCGCTAAAACCGAATTACAAACGAACAAATGTTTGCGCAAACGCTAAAACGGGATGTCGTGTCAGATCTTACGTTTGCAGTGGCCGACCTACACCAAACTCAGGGACCTTGTGTGGCACGCCCTCCCGAGGGGCTGTGGCAAATTTGGCGTCAATCGGCCGCTAGGTGGCGCTATTAATCGGATATGAAATAACACTCCCATACACATACATTCATTTCAGATTTCCATAACCGCAAGCCCCTTTAATTTATAACTCTGCTCATTTATTCTCCACGGGCCGAGAGGCTTGGACCACACTTACAACTGCTTGCAGTTCTAGTTATTATTATTATTATTATTATTATTATTATTAATTATTATTATTAAAGGCTTCCTCGACTGCTGTTTCCAAGGTCAAGAATGAACACTGAACCAGACACACACACACATATGTTAGTTATTCAGTTATCAGTTATTTTATATGCAAAATAAATGTTAAAATCTGAGGAAACTGAACACTACTATAGAAATTATTAATATTATTGCACTGTACCATAACGCCCTAATGCAGTGTCATAATGATGTAATATTAGTTTAATTATTTAATTTGGGTCTGCAATAATGATATTAATGATAACAATAACAATTCTTTGTACTTAAGTACAAATGTGAAGTACTTTACTTTTTAAGCAACTCTAAACTTTTAATCCTCTATATCTCACAGGAAATACTGTACTTTTGACTCCACTACATTTGTCTGACAGATTTAGTAACAAGCTGCTTTACAAATTAAACATTTTATATAAACTATTCCTCTCGGATCAGCTGGTAAAGGCATCATCATCACAAAGCTGGAAGCAGGGCCGTATTTGGCACAAGAAATAAATTGTGTTTCTGTACCTTTAACAAGGTGAAGTCAGGGTGTGGTATGTTTGTGCTGAAGTTTCCGGATCAGCAAGTCCTCGGACCCTTGAGCGTCCGCCAGAAGTCCTATCATACTGGTCACTCCTGCGTCCTCTGTAGTCTGTCTGCTGTGGTTTGTAATGGGCGGACTGGTGTCCACTGTGTTGCTGTGTGTTACAGACATGCCCACACAGGTGGAGGACTAGTCGGACAGGTTTGGACCAGACGCCTTTTGTTCACTTTAGTTGAGGGCGATGTAGCCATTTGGACAGTTATCATGAAGATAGTCACAACTGTAGCGCTTCTGCTACTCCTGTGTTTACCCGCGACAGGTGAGTTGTTATTCCGACCGGACAGCCAGGCAGGTAACACAGGTGAGACTGTAAACCCTCCTCTCATTGTTCTCTGGTTTTCTCCCTCTTCTGCTCAAAGTGGCGCTTTCGGGTAATGGCTCCACCGTAACAGCCGCACCGGGAGATATCGCGCTACTTCCATGTTACACCGACAGCAATGTTACGATTTTAACGACATGGATGAAAGATGGACGAGAGGTCAGCAGAGGGGGCGGTGCCTCGCCGAGACCTCCACCCGCCGGACAGCGCGTCTCGGTGCTGCCGGATGGGAGGCTGAACATCAGCAGGGTGATACCTGAAGACGAGGGCAGCTACCTGTGCAACTCCACGCTGCCAGGCAACAACACCTTTCGGGCACGTGTCATGCTTCAAGTAGCCAGTAAGTGAATGCTCGTGCGTCCACTGATGAGCCCAGTTTTGTGTCATGTGGGTTACTGCCTTCACTGGAATTCCTCGAAACAGCTTTTCTTGGAAAGAAACTGGTTCTTCAACATAACAGACAGTGGTGGAGGAAGTGTTCAGGTTCTTTACTGAAGTAACAGTACTAACACCGCACTGTACTCTGTTACAAGTCAAGTCCTCCATTATAAATGTTCCTTAGGTATAATCAAGAAAATGTATTTAAAGTATTAACTATATACTGATACTACTATATATTACATCATCATATTATTATTACTTGTGCATTAATGCAAAAGCAGGATTCTACTGTAGCCTAGTTGTTGAGATGGAGCTACTTTTTTAAACTATTTTGTATCAGACTGCAACTAATGGTTATTTTCATTCTGAATTAATCTGCTGATGATTTTCTCCATTAATACATTATTTGTTTGGTTTGTAAAAATTCTGAAACTAGTGAGACATGCCGTCACAATTATCCAGAGCCCAAAGTCACACCTTCACAATGCTTCTTTTGTCCGACTAATAGGAAACAATTCCAAATTATTAAGAGTAAATTAACCATGAAATGTTTTTGCCAATACATTTTCTGTCAATCAGCTAATTGTACAGTCTGGCAAAATGTGTGTTTATCAGAGGTTAAACCAGGGTTTCTGATGAAGAATCACAGGAGTGCTATTATACAGACACAGGTGAAGTCGCTACTCCTACCTTAGCCCTACCTCTCTTCCCTTACCGCCCACTCCCTCCACAACATTAAAGACTTATTAACATGTCGTGACAGACAGGGATGGTAATAATCAGACAGATGGTCAGACAGGCAGACAGAGAGCTAGACAGACAGATAAACAGTAGGCTATGGATAGACAGGTGAACAGTCAGGCGGACATGATAGACAGAAAGTGAAAGTGGGGGAAGATAACTGCGACAGTAAGAATCATGATAATAGTAAGTAAGTAATAAATAAAATAAATAAGTATCAAAGTAATGATGCTCATATATAATTGAATGAAAGGGGCCCAGGTTATGGTTAAAGTGTGCGGTTTGGTGCTGATGTGAAATTCTTTCCAGGGAGATATGTTCCGCGAGAAGCTTTGACTATTGTGTGATTTTGATTGTGTTTCTTACAGTTTAACAGTAGAAAATTGTTTAATAACAGATCATTTTCTTGATAATGGCGAGGGTAGTGAGTGTGGGTTTGTTGTTCTTGGATGGGTGGTTTGATTGCAGAGAGGTCAGCGAGCGGACAGAGGGGTCCTACAGCTCACAATGTGGGATGTCACGTCATTGACTTGTTTCCAGAAGTAATTAGCTGGTGGGCAGAGCGAGGTGGGGTGGAAATAATTATTCAACGTGTTCATTGATGTGTTCTGTGGATCAATTTGTATTGTATTAGGTAGGTTACTGTTGTTAGCCATTGTACATGTATTCCTACGTATTTGGATCTGGAGAGGGCGCTAAGTTTTCAAATCTTCGGTGGGGATGCATATTGTCGAGTCTGTTGTTGATATTAGTTTGTTTAATAAGCTTTTATAATTGCTAACATGAGTTTTCATTTCATCTACTAGCTGGTGTGATTGTACATTGTTGTTTGTCATATTAATTTTTGATTTAGGAGGCTAGATTT